GTTGCGGATGCAATAAGCTTGGATTCACCATTGTGTTTGATTTTACAGCACCAGCCTCCGAACACTTTGAATTTAGAGGACAAACTTCAATGAAGGTGATATCGTGCGACATTATGGCTAGATATTGGAAGAATGCTTGAAATAGGGCATGTGCTGGAAGGATGTTTGAAATAGGGCAAGTGCTGGAAGGATATTTGAAATATAACAAGCGCTGGAAGGATATTTGAAATAAAGCAGGTGCTGGCAAGGTGTTTGAAATAGGGCATGTGCTGGAAGGATGTTTGAAAACATGGCAGGTGCTGGAAGGATATTTGAAACAGGACAGGTGCTGGAATGGGCCGAATAATTAAACCCGACCCAAAAAATCAGATTTGTATTTGTAGAGAACTTCTCTTCTTCCCGCGTGCAAAATGACGACGTGTCATAATTGGCCCCAGCGGTTATTTGCAGTTTCCCAATGCCAAATGCCTTCTTCCTTTCTTTTTTATTATTTTCTTTCTTTCTCTTCCCTTTTCTTGCACCAGATCCAACTTCTTCCTACTTTTATTATCTTCAATTTCCCTTGTTCCCCCAGCTCAAAACTGAGTGAGAGAGTAAGATCAAGTGGAAAACATCTGCCTCCAGCCGCTGGGAAAAAAGCCCAAGTCGATTTCAACCCCTTCAGCCCTTCTCCCTTCGAAGAAGCCCTTCTGCCATTGCTAGAAGGGACCTTTTTGTGCGGGTTTTCCTCTATGATTCTCAATTTCGCTCCCTTCTTGGTATATTCAAAGTCACCCGTTGGGATTTTAGCAAGGTATGTCCCTTCTCTAGCTTTCTCTTGGATTTATTGAGGAATTTGCTGGGTTCCTTTCATCCATGAATATTGCCCTTTGTTTTGGTTATCAAGCATCAAACCCTCTTTTGACCTATTTTGTTATTGCAGCAACGTGAGTGCTTACAACGTGGGTGCTAGCAAGGAAGGGCTCGCACTAATCTTCTGGGATTCCCTTTTCTTTGATTTGCTCGAGTTGCTGGAAGGGTGCCAATTTCCGTGTGAACAAAACTGTTGGTATGGGTTTCTACCTTTTCCTCTTCTTACTTTAATCTTGCTCTGACCTCTTTTTTGTATATAAAAAGGCTGAACTTGGCATGATGTGCTTTATTTTCTGATTTTCTCTCATTCTCTTCTTTCTTCTTCTTCTTCAAGACCCAAACCCGTGGGTATTGTGCATCAGTACATAAGTCATATTTCGGAAGCTCGGATCAGAAAACTTCCTCAATCAAAGTTGTTCATCTGCTCGAGTACTATAGCCAGTAAAATTTGCAGAATTTTTTGAAATTTTCTGATACCTCAAAGCTGGTTTGCAACTTCTGCATTCATCCAGGGCTGGTGAGTTTTCGCAGATTTTTCTTCTGCATGTGTATTTAACTTATGATACTCGTATGATTGCG